CACCATCTTGCACAGGGCGTCTTCAAGATCCCCTCAAATTTTATTATAAAAGGAGGCGCACAGCAACAGAACATTCAGTGGACTAAACACGAGAGTGGACTAAAAAGAGTGGACTAAGCACGAGAGTGGACTAAACACGAGAGTGGGCTAAACACGAGAGTGGACTAAAAGGAGTGGACTAGTGGAGTAAAAAGTATATGAAACGTTGGAGAAGCTCAACCTGACAGAACAGACAGCCAAGACGAGAACAGAAAACAAAGAGGTCCGAAAGGACGAATAATCCGAAGAGAAGAGAAGAATGAGAAAGAAGAGAACTTTAGTGAACTTTAGTAAAAACGTTGTAAAAGATCTCCTACCTTGCGCATATAGAAATAACATAATATAGACTTAACATTTGGTGCAGGATCGGCCTTACAAAACGTTTCGGAAACTCAATCAGTCCACTATTAGTATATACTCACAAGAAATCAGAACAATCAATATTACAAACATTGCTTAGAAACAGGTGCTGAAGCGACCTGATGACTGGTTCGAAAGAAACGCACGCTCTGTATTTATCCATACTTCTACTTACGGCAATGCTAGACTTTGTTTCACGTTTTGGATGTCTCTTCAAGACAGCTGTCCACAACCTCTACACTTCCCATGAACTAGAATTGAAACTACAATCGTTTTGCCCTCAGTCTGCAGTCCAAGACGAGTTTGGCAATATGTTCTTCCTCTATCCTAATATGATGGCTATGTCGAATATCTAGCCAACGAGGTACCAGTGGAAGCCTCCGTGGTCGTTGAAATACGACTACTGAGAGTCTGAGACGTATGAAAGTTTCAGAATTTACCGGATCCTTCCTGATGGTCAGCGCGTTTATAAATGGACATGAAACTGGACACATTTTAAGATTTGTATAATTTAAGTTTTTGTCATTGACATGACATGTTACATGTATATGTTATTATGTCTGTTTTTGTTCGATAATATTAAACACGAGAGTATAGCTGTTCAACTAAAATTCCTTAGGTACACTCAGCATGCTCATTAAACATGTTGCCGTAGGATAGCGCATGCATGTTTTTAATTGGGTCAGTGTATAAATTTCATTCTGACGCTTTTAGTTATGCGTCATTCGTTGAAAATATATTTTTCTCTTCCCCCGGGACAGTCAAGGGTCTCCCAAACTTGTTGTAATAGATTATAATTCTTTTTAAGCTAAAAGCTTAAATATTAGGCACATTCTTGTTTTCTCTATGTAGACTCGGTATTATATTGTTGATGAAAACCTACATTTTGGAGTTTGGTTTGCTGTGCATGGCGTTTAAAATTTAAAATGAGTTTCAGTAATATTAAGAAATATACGTGTAAAATTTGTTTGCATGAGTTGAAATATTTTGAAGAATTATTAAGACGTATATATAGGTTTAGGTTATTATTATGGAGAGATGTTTTGTCGGAAGAGCTTTATAATAATTTCCTGTTATGTGAAGTTGATCAACCAAAAATCTGAATACAATAGACCTTATGCATAATGACGTCATAACACCTTAAGCGCGCGGTTAATTATGGTCTTTGTGGTCACAGAGCGGGAAAATAATTTCAAGATGGCTACTGTCGAAAGTGAGTGTTTTGAAGTTCTTAACTGTCTTTTAAAGGCTGTTCAAGCCAACGAGGATTCTAGTTCTTTTGAGAACTCTTGCACGGATCCTCTGCGGTTGGATAACTCTGAAAGTCAGTGCACTAGTCGGCTTTCTTCGTCGAATTTTACGAGGCCATGTGGAGGTGCTGGAGGTTATACGTGTTGTGTTCCTGGTTGTTAAAGCAACCACAAAAGGAATCCAGAGCTTTCCTTTTATAGCATTCCTAGTGGTAAAAGTGAAGAGTCGAAAGAACTTCGAAAGAAGTGGATTAATCTCATTTCACGCAGGGATTTCTCTCCTACAATTGGTCATAGAATTTGTTCGTTGCATTTTCCTGGGGGACGTAAAACCTATTTAAACAACCTTCCTACGATTGTTCCCAAAGCAACCAGACCTACACCAACGAAACCTCGTTCAACGGTAAAGGCAAAAAATCGGACTCTTGTATCATGTACAAAATCTGTACCTGCTAAACGCAGACCTTTTTCAGAACTTGATGATAACAATAATTCATCACGCTCAATAGAAGAACCAGATAAAATGGCTACACCTGTAAATGAGAATATTGATCCTATTGCTTGTTTACAAGAACAAACGGAAAAACTTTTAGCAACTAATGAGAAACTTAAGGAGGAGAATGGAAGACTTAAAAATGAAAATAAATGTCAAAAAGATGAGATAAGAGGATTAACGGAGCAACTGGAACAAGAGAGGAAAAGAATACGTTTTTCAATTGAATGTTTTAAGGACAATGACATTCTCATTAGGTTTTATACGGGGCTGGAAGACTACAAAACCTTCAAAACATTGTTTGATTCATTTGGACCGGCAGTGAATAATCTGGTGTATTATGGTACCAAGACTGATTTGGAAAGGTTAAGCTCTGAAGATGTAATTAAACGTGGACCTAAAAGAACAAATTCACCTGAACAGGAATTTTTCCTTGTGTTGGCTCGCTTGCGATTGGGGCTTTTAGAAGAAGATATAGCGACCAGAGCTGGGTTGTCTCAATCACATATGTCAAGAATATTTATTACTTGGGTTGACTTCTTGCATTCAAGGTTACGTAGCTTTCCAATTTGGCCATCCAGAAAAGCAGTTGATAATTCAATGCCAGCTTCATTTAGAGATATGTATCCTTCGACACGAGTTATTATTGATTGCACAGAAATATTTATTGAAAAACCAAATTCTTTTAGAAGTCAAAGTGCAACATTCTCCACTTACAAAAGCCACAACACTGCCAAGGGTTTAGTTGGCATAAGCCCATCAGGAGCTGTCACTTTTGTATCGGATTTGTATGCAGGAAGATCAAGTGATCAACAAATTACTATTGATTGTGGAATTCTGAACTTGGTAGAAAATGGAGACTCAATTATGGCTGATAGAGGATTTGATATTGAGCACAATTTACCAGATGGAGTGTCACTAAATATACCACCATTCATGCGTGAGAAAGAGCACTTGTCAATTGAAGAGGAAACCAAGACTCGAAGAATAGCTTCTGTTAGGATCCATGTGGAGCGGGCAATTGCCAGAATAAAGAATTTTAAAATTTTAAGTACAGTCTTTCCAATTTCCATGGCAGCAAATTTAAACAAAATTTGGGTGATTTGTTGTTACCTTTCTAACTTTTTACCACCACTACTTGTAGAAAATAACAAGCTGGACTAGATGATAGTTTTTCTGCAATCCTCCTTGCTTTATTATTTATTCGGCCTAACAAGATGATTTTACCTGACATTGACATGGCTGGAGTTAACCTTTTAAAAGGCAACCCTATAGCATTTCATTCTATCAAAGGCTTAAAATTTACCCATAATAAAGGCTAGGTCCAAAACATTTTCACATTAAATCCATTGTAGGCTGTGAAACTTTATTAAACTTTGTGTGTCCTACCCCTTAATGGTTAAACTATTCTTTAACCCATTAAGTGCCAGGGTTTCCCCAGACAAGTAAAATCATCTGGCGTTTGTTAAAAAAAAATAAGTAGGGTGCACTGGGGCACTTTGCCAGTTAATGAGTTAAAGGTATTTGCATCTATTATTTGGAATTTTTAACAGAAATATACTAGAGTAGAGGGGTAACCTTCACCTTACTCCCAATAAAAGCCTTTGAAAGTTTTTAGAGTGTTACAAAACTGTAACCATTTTGTGGCTCATTAACTCTTTAACCTATTAATTAAAGTGGCAATGCACCCCAGTGCTCCCTACTTATTTTTTTGACAAACACCAGGCGATTTTACTTGTCAATGGGGAAGCCCTGGTGCTTAATGCAGTGGTGCAGCCAGCCCAACAAATTAGTCATGCTATGCAAATTTTAACTTATTATTCATTTCTTTAGAAATTGATTTTTTCATGGTCTATGAACACGAAATTATTTGCATAGCATGACCAAATTGTCAGGCTGGCTTCGCTACTGGCTTAATGCGTTAAGCAGCAATGCACTCCGATGTGCCCTAGTTTATTATTTTACTACATGTCTAATGCCAGATGACTTGTCAAGTAGAGAGTGTTGCCACTCAATGGGTTAAACAACAGTAATAACGTGTTGCTTGAGGACAGGATTTCATTAGTCAATGAAGTTAATCTAGGAAATTAGCTTCTCGAATTATCACAGTTGATACATATACTTTACCTTGCTCCTTCAATATTGTCTTAATTAAGTACTATTTAAAGCATGCACAGGAGTGTTTTATCATATTTAAAATGCAAGTGCGCAGCACGAGCATTTCACATATGATAAAACAGGACTACAAATGCTTTAAATGACCAAAAACATGAATACAATAGATGCTGTCTCATTAGTATTCTTTGTTGCTGATTAGTGGACTGTATATAAAGAATACTAATGAAGATGAGTTTTATCAGGTATATAGCCACTTCAAGTGACATATTTTGGTATAAGTAAAAAAGCCAGTAAAAAACAATTGATGTGTGTTTTATTAATGTCATTTACAAGAAGGAAGAATAAATGAAAAGTAAAATGATGTTAGTTCTGGCAGCATTTTGTTCTCCCACAAAGAAGTGTCCTTATAGATACGCTGAACATGCATATCAGCATTGGTGTATACCACAAAATCAATCCAGGGTAAATTTAAAATGTTCAAGACACCTTGACATTGATAATAATATGCATGGTTCACTTTAAGTTCTAATCCACTTTCGGTTTTTTTAAATAAAAACCTTTGACACTTTGTGCAGCTTCATTAACATTCATTTCTTTCACTGAGTAAGGACACTTAACTTCAATGCATCCAACTGGAATACCATCTTTTATGACAATTCCATCAGGGCTACAACCCAGCCATGGCCACTGGGGACTGATGACTAACCCACAACATGTGACAAAAGCACTGCCTTTTAATGTTACATCTTGATATTTAGCAATTGCATTACTTTCATTATCCAGGCCCCACTGTACAGATGCAGGCACTTTCTTTTCTCATGATCAACACATAAAATTGATTCAATCAGTGAAGCTGGATGGTTTTTCTTTCTACGATTGATAACTTTGCCAAAAATTGAAGCAGTAAGCCTTTTAGATCGTTCAGCGTACCATTGAGGATCTTTGTTTTGCCTCATAGTACTCAAACATATATCCTTAGCAGTGGATACAGTCAACCCAACTTTTGTTTTTACTAGTTCTAGTTGTTCTGGGCTATAATCTGATGGAGGGGTGTAACCATTTGGCACATTTTTAAAGATCTGATCAACCAGTTGACTTGGTGGTATTTGCGTTGGAATAGGAACAGAGCTGTTGTCCAGTTTTCTATTTTGCAACTGATTACAAGATGTCTCGAAAAGTTCACATGGCTTATAGTTATTTGAGGCTATAGCTTCACGAAATAGTGAAGCGCAATTGGCTTTCTCAAATGCATTTGCCATAGACTTAATTTCTTCTGCAGTCACAGTCCGAGCAAATGGTGGAGTAGCACAATAGTCTTCCCTACTCCCTTTTACAATATACCTTTTGGCAGGTTTGTTCACATCAGCTTTTTCAAATAGCATTTCTTCAAATTTAACAGCTTTGTCCAGGGTCTTTGAGCTTCCGGAGGGCACACTCCATTTTTGAGGAAGTTGTGTGCATGTCAATTCCACAGGAACGTGTTTCAAATTCAGATTGACAAAGTCCAAAATAGTGTACAATAGAGCAGCTACGTGTTTGCAGCAACCTCCTTGGCCAGCCTTACAAGAACACTTAGCATATTCCACTTCACCGTTAACTTGGTTTAAATGAACATAAACAGGATAGCTGACGCTCTTCATGGAAGCACCAACACGCGCTTTCACCACGAACAACAGCTTCGAGGCTTGCACATTTGGCTTGACAAAAGTACTTTTTACATAACCTTCTTTCCATAGTCCATAGCCTTTCTTCATATTTCGATAAGCTTTTGGAGCCATTTTATCAGGCATTGTACGGCTATTTTTTACAAGCTTATTCTCCAGCTTTTCATGAGTAAATCCTGGAAGTTTCTCTAAGCATTTTATCCAATCACGGTTGTCAGAATTGAAGATATCTTCACTTGTTTCCGACTCTACCAGCTTTCGAGGACATGCAGTACCTCCACATGGCCTCGTAAAATTCGACGAAGAAAGCCGACTAGTGCACTGACTTTCAGAGTTATCCAACCGCAGAGGATCCGTACAAGAGTTCTCAAAAGAACTAGAATCCTCGTTGGCTTGAACAGCCTTTAAAAGACAGTTAAGAACTTCAAAACACTCACTTTCGACAGTAGCCATCTTGAAATTATTTTCCCGCTCTGTGACCACAAAGACCATAATTAACCGCGCGCTTAAGGTGTTATGACGTCATTATGCATAAGGTCTATTTTCGCTGTTGGAATGATAAGATATTTTATGAAATTTGAATAATTTTTGGTACACTTTCTGAGTACTTTTCTTAAGTACACGAATAAAACGACAAGAGAACAGTTTACAAGCCACGAGACAGTCATCACAAAGCATACAAAGAATATTTAAAAAATCAACTTTTAAAATGAACAGTCCTCATGGTATTGAAAGAAATATTCTCAATGTTGTAACATATGTAATTTGAGTAATAAAATATTTTCTTCGCAAATCCTAAGTTTGTATTTATAATTATGTATAGCGTGAGCGCACAGCTCAGTGAGCTCCATATATCTGGAGTAAGAACTTGAGACTTCCGTGAGGCCAAAAAGTGAAGCCAAAGATGGCGGATATTGAAGCGCTATAGTACGTCAGTTTCAGTCTTCCTATATGTGCGCAGTTATCTAAATTCGTATTTTTTAACTTTATTTTTTCCTATTTTTGAGTAAAAATGAGGGGAATTTCAATGAGAGGTATAATACTAATGTTTGATACTGAGATACTTTTTATTTTAATTAAATTAACCAAGAAATAAGCGATTTCTCACTAAGAAAGCTACGGAGTGGCGGGTTGTTGATGTTTTCGGCTTTTCGCAAATCACTGACAACATTTACTACAGAATATGCTTCCCAAAAAAAGATAGATACTAGTAAAACTTTTCTGAGTTCAATTCATCTGTATCAGGCTTTCATTCATGTAAAAAGTAATAGGAAAGAAAATTATGCTGAAAAACGTACGGGTTTGAAATATTGGCTACTAATATATGATTATGAAATTTATAAACAAGACTCATAATGCACGTATAAAAGAAACCTTAAAAAGAGCTCTATTATAGGAAAGCTAACCAAAAAATAAAGGAAAACCAGAGTTAAAGCGTTTCGAAACAAAAAACGAAACAAAAAACTGAAAACATGAGGTGAAAATATATGGAAATAAATCAAAATTAAAGGTATGTGCGTAGTTGAATTTATGGCGAAAAATGCATATTTACTCACACTTACAGTCGGAAAATGCGGCACCCACATTGAGTAAATGCAAAGAATCACATTCTCAGTAAAATGA